GTCCGGCTGCCAAGGAGCAGATGGTTCCAGGATTTACACCCAGGGTGTGTATTTGCACATGGTACCAGTTTATGATGACATTATTAGATCCACAGTGAAAACCTGCTGTGTCACTTTGATGAACAGTGTTTCTGTATCAGTGGATCAGTCCAGTGCAGGGCGTTAGCTCTTATCAGTATATATGATTACATAAAGTATTCTTTCTTTACCGACGCAGAATTGGATCCCAAGGTAAAAGAAAGTGGAGCTTGATAATGATCTAATCTGACAGGTTTCAGTAAAATCTAAAATTTGAATCTGAAAATTGAGAATTGGAAACGATGTACAGTTGTAACATGTTTCACTATAACGACGATCAAAGCACGAGCCTTTCCATCCATCCAGCTTATGTTTAAACCACTGATTGTTGATGAGGCTGCACACACACTAACTCATACAGACAAACAAATGCATTCTCACCTTCAGGCAATCACCAGTTCACCTAACCCGCCTGTCTTTGGACTGTGGGAGGAAAGAAAACCTACTGCATGCAGACAAATGGAGAACGTGCCGAGCCTGTTTGTATGGTTAAAACCAATATACCTGCTAAAGCTGACTGCTGTACGTCTGCTACGTGGTTCCACACTGTACTGACAGCGTGCAAACATGTGACTGTCTTAGCTTAAAATATGTCTCCTTCAGTAAGCAGATCAGAAAAGGAAAGATTGATTTGATTCACATGTTTTATGGACTTTTACTTTAGCGCCACATTTTTTCCTTCAAAGCAAATCTGAATTAGTAACGTCAGTTTGCTGCTGCTACAGCATTAATGTTACTGAACGTTTCACAGTTCAGTTTCCTCTTTAATGGATAACCCATAGCTGTGGAAAATAGCAATGTTTAGTTTGTCTACACAACGTTACCAAATGTTACAGTGACCAAAGTACAAACTACAGCAGTGGTTCCCAACATTTCTTTTGCCTGTGAGCCTTTGATATAAAGCAGTATACTAATGACCCCTTATCATGGCTCTGCATGTCTGTGTGTTTTAAGCAATTCATTCAGATAATGACTTCTCAGACTTACATTTTAATCACCTTCAGAGGTTTAACGAGATAAAACTGCAAAAAAAAGAACAAAGACTGAAAAAAACGTTTGAAAAGTAAGCACAATTTTGTCTCTGGTAATCATCTTATGACCCCCAGATTGGAAACCACCGATCTACAGTGTGTATTTAATTCCACATAAACAGAAACCTAACCGTGTTGCCTTACAGCAAGAGGTTAGGTGTGAATCCACCATCCAGCTGTGGTGGTCTGTGTGGACTTTGCATGTGTTCTACATGAGCTGTGCAGGGATTTGCATCGGTTACCTCTCTGGGTTCTCTGGTTTCCTCCAACAGTCTCGTGACATTCAGGTGAACTGATGGCTTTAAATCGCCTGTCACCTTGTCTGAGTGTACTCTATCTCCCGCACAATGTGTGCTTGGATAGCCTCCAACCTCCGCGACCCTGCACAGGATAAGTGCATATAAAATGGATAGATGGATGATGCTTCCTCTGCCTTTCAAGTGCCGCACCAGTGTTCACCTGGGTTTTAGGGAAATGAAAGTGCAGTGAACACAGTGAGTAGCTCAGGGAGGTTAGAGAATTCACAGAGAAGGACAGCTGCTCTTGCTTAGAAAGTCAAATATTATAAATTATTACTGATTGCATCTTTAAATATTTCTAAATTATATTTTCTCTTC